AGTAAAACAAGCAACACATGCCACGAACTAAGTACCCGATAGACCAGCCGTGGCAATGCAGAATCCTGCCAATTTCCTTCACAGACCCTGCTATGAAAGCTTAACCGGCCTCTGTGCAAATGGGCCCTCTTCCACCTTCTTCCCGAACCTGAACCGTCCCTAACCACATGAGAATAGGGGCCGGAATACTAAGTACTACGAATATTCCCCTCATGGGCCCTTTCATACTGTGCTATAATACCCCCCCACCCCCCCACCCCCCCACCCCCCCCACCCCCCCACCCCCCCCCCCCCCACCCCCCCACCCCCCACCCCCCCCACCCCCCACCCCCACACCCCCCCCCCCCACCCCCCCCCAACAAAAAAAACATAAATAAGCAAACCTACTCTAGTTATTGAAGCCCCCCCCCCATGTTCAAACCCATCTCGAAGTGAAGACCCAGGAGCTGAGCCAAAGCGGAAAGGCAAACGCCACCATTGGCCACCGGACGCACACCTGGTTTTTGTTGTTTAGGGTTTAGGGTTTAGGGTTTCGACTCTCACACTGGCACAAGCGGGCGAGGCAACTCCTGTCCAGATCTCTAGAGTGGGGACATTGACCACCAGCAACGAACCAACCAGGGGTCAGCACAACCTTCCACCACACCTTTCGGGTTTAAGGTTCAGGCTCATACTGCAGAAGAGCTGACACCCGATCAATTCAAACAACGGCAGACTCAGAACTAGCTGGTACGTGTCTGTTGGCCAACACAAGTTCATTGACCCAGTTGGCCTGTCCGGTAGGGGGCTCAAACCATGATGGCTAACAGTATACCTCGATCACCTGCCCACCTCAGAAACGAGCCTCCCCTGTCGGACCTGGTTGGCTAATCCTAGGTGTACTGCAACTTAGTGAAGATACGTGCGGAGGCTGCCGTGATCATCCCGAGGAGTAGGTGACTACTCGGTTTAGGGTTTAGGGTTTAGGGTTTAGGGTTTAGGGTTTAGGGTTTAGGGTTTAGGGTTTAGGGTTTAGGGTTTAGGGGCGCTTTGGAGGGTAGGGGAATCGCTTAGAAACCATCGTTTCAGGGTTTATCAGGTTCATGGTTTACAAGGCTGGCATCAAGGGTTCGTAGGGTTTAGGGATTGCGACCCTTAAACCTTAAGACTTGGGATGTTCCCCTTTATACTAGCAGTCCTTAACCGGGAGTATACGGAGGTAGGGGGGGGGGGGTACTATAATCCCTATTAAGGACTGTTAGTATAAGGGGGAACATCTCAACTTAAGACCCAAGACTCTAAGACGCGAAGTGCTGAACCCCGAAGTTTGAAACGAGTCCAAACTCCTATGGGGAGACGAAAGCCTGACAAACTCCGGCTGAGTATCCAGGGAAGGTAATTTCAAGGGCTGAGAATTCCAAAAGAAATAAGAGTACCCCTAAGCCTTAAACCCTACACCTAGAGCAGCAGATGGCAAGGCACGTCGATGAGGGATTGAGCCCACGCGCCCACCTCAATCCCAAGGACTTCCGTTGAGAGATTCGGGTTGAGAGGTTTCTTGGGGCAAGGAAAGCTCACTGGGTTCAGGGTTTAGGGACTGTTTTGGGGTGCGATTACAAGGCGGCCTGACCACCATGGCGAACTGCATGCCCATGTCAAGCCAAAAAGAGGGGGGAATTGGCTTTAATGGGACCGCCATGCTCTCTTTCAAAGGGAACCGCTGCGGAGCCTTTTCCAAAATCGCACGGTGTTGCATGCACCCAGTCCCGGAACCCGACACCCCGACACCCTAAACCCTTTTGCATCAGGCTGGTGGCCCTAATCCCTAAACCCTCAAACCCTCAAACCCTGAACCCCAAAACCCTAAACCTCAACCCTAATCCCGAAACCCTGAACCCTCAAACCCGAAACCCTGAACCCCAAAACCCTAAACCTTAACCCCCATTGTTTGCAAACCTTCGAAGACACCCCGTGCCTCCTGGTGCCCTAAGCCCTCAGCTATCCCTTGCGCTCACTCCAATGAGCAAGGAATGGGAAGGTCGAGGGTTTCGGGTTTAGGGATTCGGGTCCAGGGTTCCTTGGTAGCCCAGGAGCTATATGATCATCAGTGCACCCTTTTTTGGGGTTGGCCTTGAACCAAACAGAAGGGAGATGGGCACCACTGGACTACCAAGGTTAAAACTACGGACGCTTTAGGAAACTTGAAGGCTAGAGAAGTACCAGCTAGATAAGTACAAGTAAACTCATGAAGCCCTAAACCCTAAGCCCTAAACCCTGAACCCTAAGGCTCCTGACAACTCAAACGCTGCCCTACTTGGGCTTCTAGAGCTTGTTCGACTTGCCTGTGTCTTCCGCCGTGGCCAGGCCATTTGCGCATCACGTGCCCGAAGCCCTATAAACTTTACATGCCCTTGTGAACCCTAAACCCGAAACCCTAAACCTTAAACCCCAAACCCTAATCCGAAACCCCTATACCCCAAACCCTTTTTGCACCCAGGCCTCTTCTAACAATCCTAAACCCTAAGCCCCTTTTTGAATACTAAACCCCTAAACCCCTGAACAAAAAAAAACAAGTTAAACCCCGAAGCCCCTACACCCCTTTTGAATACAAACCCCTAACCCCCTAAACTGCCCTAAACCCTAAACCCCAAACCCAAAACCCCAAACCTAATCCCTAAGCCCCATAAACCCTAAACCCTAAAACAGGCCAAGGGGCGGAGAGCACATAGCAAGCAGGGAGCACCCATGCCACCAACGGCATCAGGAAAGGGAGGGCCTGCCAGGGTTTAGGGTTTAGGGTTTAGGGTTTGGGGTTTGGGGTTTGGGGTCCAAGGAGGTTTGGACGAAGAGACCCGGCCCCCAGCCTCTCCTATGCTTCGGGTTTATGGTTATCCTCCCACCCTCAAGCACTAGAGGGTAGTTTGTTGCGGGTGGTTTAGGCTTTTCAAGGTGGGTTCTTGTTGGTGCTTTGGTGTTTTCAGGGTCATTTGAAGGCTTTCGTGAGGTGTCTCTACAGGCATGCTAGGGCCTAGGGTTTGGGGTTTGTGCAGCACCATCCCCCAAGAGCGAATATCGGGCGCCAGCGTGAAACATGACACTGCACCGCAAGCCCAGGACACCACCAGGGCTTAGGGTTTAGGGTTTCGGGTTTTAAGGGGAATTGCTTGGGGTCTCACCTCCAGCGATTGCGGTTGAAGTACATCGCGGAGCGGCCAGACCTGCCAAGCACTAGGTCAACCCGAAACCTAAACCCTAAACCCGAAACCTAAACCCTACACAGTATAGTAGGCCTTACAGAAAAAAGGCCCATAGCTTGGTAGCCCAGTAGCCATATTGCAATAAGGGTACCCTTCTTGGGGTTGGTTGCTTTATGAGGGAACCTTGAGCCTTGAACCAAAACATGGAAAAGGGTACCACTGGGCTACCAAGAAATTCTGTCCGGTAAAGGGACCGTTGCAAAGGGCCGAAGTAGAATTCCTGGCATGCCTTCTGTTCAAAGCTCGCACTATGGAGCAGAATCGGGGTTTCAGGGATTGGAAGTCGTTGACATCGCTGTTTACTCCGCAAGGCAAACTGACCGGGTGTTCGGGTTTGGGGATTAGGGCTTAATTAGGGCTTAGGGCTTAGGGCTTAGGGCTTAGGGTTTGGGGTTTGGGGTTTGGGGCTTAGGGTTGAGGGTGTCTGGTTTTGCAGGTCCAGTGGCCGTGCCGCCGCCGGCAGGATGGCTGCCGTAAAAGCGTGGACAATCTGGGCATGTCAAAATACATAGCTTGCGCTTGCTGCAATTCAGCTTGGCTCGGAACACATTCAACTAGGATGGCCTCTAAACCCTAAACCCTAAACTAAACCCTAAACCCTAAACCCTAAACCCCAAACCCCAAACCCTCAACCCTAAACCCTAAATCCTAAATCCATTTAAAATCCCAAATTCGGAAGAATATGACCTATCCCAAGGGCCTCCCGAGTTCGACCTTACAAACTAGCTTATAAGCTTTGGGCCAATGTGTAGCAGCTGAACGCTTGGTTCTAGGTTGCAAGCTTCTTGAAATTTAGGGTTTAGGGTTTAGGGTTTAGGGTTTGGACACTTGATGCTGCAAGGGTTTCCAGGGGGCTTTCATGTCTTTTCGGCTCTTCGTTTGTCGGGCAGCCGGGCACCAGACCCCTGACTATGCCACGTGGGAGACTCGCGCATTTCGTGCATGTCCTAGTAATTGCTAAAGAGCCCCCCCCCCCCCCAAAAAAAAAAAAAAAAAACTTCCTTATAATTAAGGGCAATATAGGGATGATTATTTTAAAGGGTTCTTAAGCAAATAGTAGTGTCATGACAGGGCTCAGAACAAAGCAAAGCAGAGCCGCGCCCCAAACACCACACGAAACAGAAGGGCGTGGGTGTACCTCATCAATCCCCTGGGACTTGAACCCTGAGACCCTGAGACCCTAAACCCTAAACCCTAAACCCTAGGAGGCACTGAAGCTCCTTCAACCCTGCGGGATCCAGCACCCTACAAAGGCCCCCTGCCGCTCCGAAAGTATGTTGGGTTGAGTTTCTGCCGATGAGTTTCCCAAACCGCCCAAACCCCTACGAATTGATAAGCTCAGGGTTCAACTCGCGGCCCATAGTAGACCCTTCAGTTCACTTCATCAGAGGGTTTAGGCTTTGGGTTCAGGGGACCTAGGTATGGTTTGGGCTTCAGACGCCCAAGCCCCCGAAGTGCAGCAAAGGAAACTCTGGGTGGCGAAGAGGGTATGTGTTACCATGGCGCCGATGGTATAGCGACCAAGCCTGGCAAGGGGCCGAGAGGTCAAGGCGACGGACGGAGAATGGTTGACTCTTCAGGTCTCTTAAGGCTTTCTTGCATGTGCGATGCTAGGAAGCTCTGCACCTTAGGGGCACAAATAGGGGAGCCCCTCAAGAAGACATGCAATTTGTGCGACTCCCTCTCTGTCCGTGTGCGCGGCCGAGAACTTAAGCTTGCTGCGGTTCTGAGGAAGCCCAGTGCTGGGGAAGTCTAAAGGATTGGTCAGGCGCCGTCCTCTGCAGCGGCCAACTGTTCCTGCAGAACGGGAGCATGGGAATGGAACGAGCTCATCTAGCAACTCAGAGCCACTTGGCAGCTCAGCACCCATCTTAAAATGATTCTCTTGGGTTGGTTACTTTATAAGGGAACCCCCCGAACAAAAAAAGTGTCAAGGGGCTAACACCGGGCTTCCAAAGGCTACGAAGCCCCGAGGTACTTTGTCTCCGAGTGTCGGTCCAACTGCCACAGCCAGGGTCACCACAGCCGCCAGCGCGTGCCCAAAGGCCACGGTGGCGCGGATCAGGTTCACCCGGAAGGTCTCAAGAGTTGCATCCCTAAACCCTAGGCCCTAAGCTCTAAAACCCCGTGAAGGTGTGGGAAGTGGAGCTGTGGAGATCTGGGCTAGGGCAATAGGAGCTCACACTTGTAGGGTTCCGGATACCCGCATTGAGGTGTCTTGCCTTACTCAGAGGTACTTGGATGCAAAGGCGTGACAACCCAATCCGTCAACTCGAAACCCGAGACCAAAAGCCGCGTGACAGGTTCCACCGGCCAAGGCCACCAAGGAAGTTCCGCGTCATAGGGCCACCTCTTTTGGGTTTAGGGTTTGGGGTTTCAAGGTTTAGGGTTTAAGGGTCGAGTTCAGGTATTCAACTTCAGAAAGTTGAATGCGCCCTTGATTTGTTGTTCCCAACTCGCGGTCTGTGGCTGGTTGGGGGGCCCCTACCCGGACCTTCTGGTTCTGTAATGAAAAACTGGAAAATCTGGTTCCCCCCCCCCCCCCCCCCCCCCCCCCCCCCCACTGAAGGAACTACAACGAAGGGTTCGAGAAGGCCGGTAGGCCGCAAGGTCTTGGCTGGAAAAACTTCAATGCCTCCTTTGGACGGAATCATAGTACAGGACCCTGAAGAAACAGATGTCAACACATGTCACTTATGATCCCCCCTGCTGTGATAACTACCATGCACTATCCAAAATACCCTTCCCATCCCATGTTTCCCGGCCGTTGTTCACCCTTGTAGTGTCTTGACGGCAGGGTACGACACCGGCTTTGATCGATGGCCCAAGGAGCCCTACACGTTGAGCTTTTGGGTGTAGGGCTTCTGTTTGGGATGTTCCCCCTCATACCAACAGGCCTTAATAGGGATTCTACTGCGGGGTACTACAATTCCTTTTTAGGACTGTTAGGGTTAATGGATGGGGGTACTACAATTCCTTTTTAGGACTGTTAGTATAAAGGGGCTCACATCCCAAGCTTCGGTCTTACAAGCGCGTCCGAGCTTCGCCGGAACATGCACGACCAGCCAAACGGCCATCAGCAACGCCAGGATCCGGACCTCTGATAGGACTCCTTTAGGGTTTAGGGTTTAGGGTTTTGGGTTTAGGGTTTTGGTTTAGGGTTTAGGGTTTAGGGCTACCAAAAGCGGACCCTGGTGTAGCATGCAATGCCCAAACAAGGGCTCACGACTTCAGGTTTGGATCACGTGGGATATGGCTTGGGGCGACTGTAGTATGTAGGGTTTAGGGACCTCAAAAACCGTTGAAAGCAGCCTCCGAAAGCCCTACAGTACCCCAAATAGATCCTCAAGGTTTGTAACTCTGAACAACTGCTTTCAAGTCTCCTCAATTTAACCCCTCCCTTGTGATTGAACCCTCACTTGCCGACCCCCCTGTCAACAGGTGCTGCCCCGCCGCCGGGGGCCGAGAAAGGACATGCAGCATAAAGGGCTTTGCCCAAAGCTCCTGACCAAGCTTTGGGACTGTCGACCACGTCTGAGTGGAGAGGCCTACGACACCTAACGAGCGAGGACTGCCTGGCTGCCATATCATTCTACCACGACTCACAAGTTCGCCTGCAGTTCGTTTGGGATTTACCTATAGCGTACTTGGAGTTTCAGGGGCTCTTCCAAGAGGGGACTTCGGGACTATTGTGCTTGTAGCTCGGGCTTACGGTTTCAAGGTGTGTTTGTGTTTGAAGCGTTCCGTTGCCAGGAGCAAGGAATCCAGCATGATCAAGACATGCAATGCGAGTGACATGGGTAACCCTACACCCCAAACCCTAAAAGAGGGTACTGTAACTTTTGAACCCGAAACCCCCAAACCCAAACCCCAACCCTTTTGCAGCCGGACTGAGACACTGCCAAGAGTCCCCTAAACTCAGCACAAACCCCCCACCCTACACGCTAAACCCTTTTGCCGGAGCGCTCTCACCTGAAACCCTAAACCCCAAACCCCAAACCCTAAACCCTTTTGAACCCGGAACCCCCAAACCCTAGCCTGGCTGAGCCGAGGGAGCGCGAAAAAGCCGAGACCGAACCCCGCGGCCCAGAGGCAAAGCTGCCCGCCACGCCTGGCAGGGAAAGTGGTGGGCTTAGGGTTTGGGGTTTGGGGTTTAGGGTCTAGGGTTTAGGCTTTCGGCCCTGAACCCTGAACCCTGAACCCTAAGCAACGGGACCACACAACCTCTAAGCGGGGCCAGGGCACCAAGTACCAAACTTCAAGTCGATGTTGCCAAAAAGCAAGTTGCACCAAGAGTCCTGGGCAGCGAGGGCTGAGGGCTCAGGATCTTAAGGTTGAGGGTTTATGTTATAAAGGCCGGTGGCCTCTTCATCTGTTGCCCCTTATACCTTAACAGAGCCCCTAGATACCCTAATAAGAACCCCGATATAGGCCCCGATGAAACCGAAACCCTACTTAAAGAGACCACCAGCCCAGATAAGGTTTAGGGTTTAGGGTTTAGGGCGTAGGGGTTGGGACGGCGTTTTTTTCGCCTCGTAACATAATAGGCTTTGGATCTGGGAACCTAACACATAATTTAGAGAAAACGGGAAGCACGGGGAATGGTTGAAGATGAGCCGAAGACTTGTCGGACTTTTGGGTTCTCGGGGTGACATCGGAATGCTTCCAGCTCAAAACCTGTCACTTGACAGCAAGTGTTCCCCCCCCCCCCGCCCCCCCTTGGTAATCTGCGTTCCAAACACTTAAAAGCCTTGATGTTGGCTTTAAGCAGTGTGTCACACGGGGATGCGCATTTTGCACTCCACATAATAAGTAACCACTCAGTGAAAGCCCGCACTGTCAGGGCGTATCTCAAGCAATGAACCCCAAACGATAATTATTCATTGACGCGCTCTCCGAGCAAGCACCAACCGCGCAGACCCAAAGGAGCAATCACACCAACACCCTAAATCCTGATAACTAAAACCCAAACCCGAAACCCCTAAACCCCTAAACCCTACACCCTACAGTCCCCTAACTGGACTTAGTCTGCCAGAAAGCGGCTTTCAGGGATGCAGGCCCCTGAACCCAAAAACCCGAAAATGGAGCCCCTGCTCAAAGAATGGCTGGCTGAGGCAAGGTCGGTTAGTCTCAACTTGGGGCTACAGCCCCAGCCAGTCGCAATCTCGAAGTACCTGCAGGTGTGAATCCAAAATCTTGGGAGCGCAACTCTCTGACATCGAAGCCCCTACTTTAAGAACGAGAAGCCGTTTGGCTTTTAGCATGCTTGAGACTCCTAGAACGAGCTCGATAATCAAAACCTGCAAATCTCCGCAAATATGTTTGGGGTTGACTGGAGGTTTGTCGATGGCCTGGCATGACCATCAACCACAAGACTGCATGTGCATGGGCAATCAGTTCACTAACACAGGGTCCCTTTTGGTGGCAGCCCTCATAAGGACCCCCCCCCCCCCCAAATTCAAAACGACCCAAATAAACTTGTAAAACTACCCTACCAGGGGGAACGACGGCAACCACCACTTCTAAGCTCCGGGGCAACTACTGCCAGGTTCCCAGCAAGAAAAGCCGGGTGCCCTGTTTCGGATATAATCTAGTTTATCAGGATTCTATCCCGAAAAATGGGAATGTGCTACTGGGTGTCCTTGGCTCTTGGCAACACAAAGGAGCTAAACCCTCGGTGAACACAAGCCGAAAAGAAGGCGAGCTGAAGCCGGTAGGCCCTCCTTAAGCCCTGCAAAACTTTCGCTGTTGGAAATCCGGGACCAGAAGCAGCAAGCTTGTGGCCGACCCTAAACCCTAAACCCTTCTTGCCTAACCCCTAAACCCGTTTTAAACCCTAAACCCTAAACCCGTTTTCTGTAGGGCTGTGGGGTTTCAAGGTGAGTGAGCGTGAGCCCTCCCTGCAGGCGAATTCGCTGGCCTGGAGTCGAGGTGGCTGTGGTCGGCTGTCCTTACCACGCGCACGCAGCAGCATTCTGGTCCAGTAGCCTTTCAGCTGCCCCCAAGCCCTGAGCCCTTAACCCTAAACCGCAAAACCAAACATTTTTTTTATGTATTCTGATTATTATGCAACTTTCCGACAGGATCCGAGCTACTCGAGCGTCCTTCAGGGATCCCCTGAGGGCTGTCAGACTCACTCGCACAGTGACCTCACACACTTTGAGCCTGAGTATGTACGCAGACCTCCGTACTGTAGGGGGCCTTAGGGTTTTGGGGGGTGTTTAGTATAGTATAGTTAATGTTATAGGGATTATAGGGGAATATAGTAATTGTGATTTTTCAGACCCCTATATCATACTACGTTCTAAACCTTACTCCTCGAAGTTCTGTACGGCGCCAAAATTAAGAATGCACCCAGCTTATTCAGGACGACGCAACGAATTTGCATCCATTCCGCGTTCCTTGGCAACCACAACCCCTGAATATTTCCTCACCTGCCAATGTTTTTCCGTTAAGTTGACTCCCTTAAACAGCATGATCGCTAGCATTCTCTCTCTCTCTCTCTGCCGTGCCGCTAGCATTGTTAGCTCTATTATTTTACAGTTAGTGTTGCTAAACATGTATATGTACATCTAAATGGACATTCCTATATCTTAGCCTGCCTTCCTCACCCAGAACCATATGTGCGGACCTGACCACTACTGCGTTACGAAGAACATGGATTTGAGGTTTAGGGTTCGGGATTTATGGGTTCTTAAGCTATGCTCTCCTCAGCACAAAAGACGCAGCCCCAGATTCCACGCTGCGGCGGCGATCAGCGCAAAGACGAGGACGGCGGCTGACAGGATCCTATGGCTGATACGTCTGCATCTTTTTGTTTGCCACCCGCCTAGCTGACTCTCTCTCCGCAGGGACTATTCATGACTTTTCGAGATTCCGGGGGAAACTGGGCCAGTCACCTTGAGCCTTCACGGACGAGTCACACCGCCGCCTAGCCTGAGAGCCAACTCAACCATAACGCCTGAGCACAACGCGACCGTGGACAAGGGTACTGACTAGACGAGGCTGCTGCTCGCCCAATACACATCCTCCTTTGCCTTGCTTGGTTAACACACCGCTCAAGACTAACAGTCGAATTAAACCCTTCTGCAAACATGAGGCCTCGTATTAAAACAGGGTCCTAAACAGAGACCAAATTTCAGAGAACTGACCACAAGGCTTCAGGGCTAAGATGCCGTCCCACGTCCCCAGCAGCTTGTCAAAGAAAACCTAAAACTTGCGACGCACACCAAAGCACCCTAGAGCCTAAAGCCAAAGCTTAATTACTGGTCCACTTTCAAAAGCGGTGGAACCACGTCGGGCTACACTGTCCTCAAAAGATAACGATCACCCACCACACTGCTGAGAGGAGGACGTGCGGCCGAGCATCTGCTGTGACTGAGACGACGTCGGCAATAACTTTGATGCTGCAGAGATGCCGACCTTGGAAGGGGTTGTTCCAGGGTTCAGGGTTTTGGCAGCCTTCGTTGCATCTTCGCAAGGAGTTTGATTTGAAAAGGCATCTACAAGGAACCTCCCGGATACACATGGATGAACGACAGCTTGGGGTGAAGGAGGTGGCTAAATCACTGAATACATTGCAGAAGGCTTGGCAGCCCAGGAGCCATCTCAAAATAAGGGTACCCTTTTCAGAACCCTTTAAACAAGCAGTGGACCATATTGAGGGACCATGTAACCTCCCCTAGAACTTTGGGTTCCCAAACAACCCAACCCTAAGCTACTAATTGCTGAAGAACCCCCCGCCACAAAAAAAAAAAACAACATATATGTATGTATGTAAATATATATATATATATATATATTTATTTATTTATTTATATTCTTCCTTATACGAGCATTTTAGGGATTATTATTTTTCTTTTGGGGGTTCTTGTGCAAACAGTAGTTTAGGATTCCCTTGGCTCTTGCCTGCCAGGCTAAGTGAGTCCGGCAGCTGCATTGCAATGTGCGCTAAGACGCTAGGGCGGTGTCCTCAACCTGCCCTTCATCTAAGGGTTTAGGTTTAGGGTTAAGGGTTTAGGGTAGTTACCTGGTCCCTAAATATGGGCCTTCAAAGGGGACCCCTGATAGCCCCTATAAAAACCCAAGGGCCCATACCTCAGAACCCTGTAAATAGGGTAATGGACCTTATAGTCAGGGCCCAAGAAACTACCAAACTCTAACCTTTAAATCCTAAACCCTAAATCCTAAGCCCGAAACCCAAAACTCTAAATCCTCAGCCCTTAATGTTGCACCCGCTTTAGTATCGGCCCCCTCTTTAAAGACAATCTGGCCGAATTATTCAGGACACCCTGACTGTTTGGGAGTCCCTCTTTAAAGACAAATCGTCCGGGCGCCGTAAGAAAATTCCACGTGGCGCGCCTTTAAAAAAGATAACCGGGCATCGCTGCCCCTTTTGAACCTATCTAAACTCCTCCCTATTAAAATCATATGAGCCCCGGGGGCCGTGTAATCAGGCTCCCATCCACGCCTCGACTGTCCAGGGGGGGGGGGGGGGGCCCCCCACACTAAAGAGGGTGCAACATTAACAGACAAACCCGACCGACATCTCCCAAACCTAGTTTTGTGAATCTGCACTCCTTCCAGGCATGCGGCCGCCATAATCTCAGCAGCTAGAAGCCTCAACAGGGCTCCAGGCTTAGGGATTTCAGAGTTCTGGTTCAGGGTTTCGGGCTTAGGGCTAGGGTTTTTGGGTTCTAGTTTGGACGTGGCTCCCAGAAACACAACTTAACACTTGAGATTACTTTTGTTGAAGCTGCACTTCGCATTTGGTCTCGGGTATCTAGAGTTTGGGGTTTCTTCTGCTTGTGTATCCAAACCAGGCACCCAAGATTTACACTCACCAAAAATTATGGGATTTCCGAAATTCGGGGTACCTTATCGGAAACCCCCATATACGTAAACCAACAACAGAAATACATGCCCATCGACTTGGTCCGCAGGGACTCAACTGCTGCCGAAACACACCTCAACGACTATTTTCCAAGGACCTTTCGCTGAGTGGCCAGAGGAAGAACCAGTCAATGCGCATGGAATCCGTCTGAAATGCCTCGGGCGCAATGTGCAGCGACCATTCAGATTCGGCAGGAGCTCATGAACTCCTGCAAAGTAGCCCCACATAGCCCCACTACCAGAAGAATCACCAACCACCGCTTCCGAAAGACCGTGCAGCTATCCTCAAAGTCGAAATCCTTGAAGAGGATCGGATCCTCCCACTTTCAGTGGCTCACCCTAAACCCTATAAACCCTATAAACCCTATAAACCCTAAACCCCAAACCCCAAACCCCAAACCCCAAACCCCAAACCCTAAACCCTAAACCCTAAACCCTAAACCCTAAACCCTAAACCAGGACCACCAAGGAAAGCCAAAGGGCGGGGAGAGCTGTAAGCGTCATCAGCATGTACCTGCTGCGGCCATGTTAGTCGCCCCAGGGGCATGAACAGCCAGCCATCCGGGTCTTGGCATTTTTGGGTTGAAGGTTTAGGGTCTAGGGTTTAGGGTTTCAGGTTTGAAGCTGAACTGCGCAACTACTTGGAGGTTCCTGGGTACATGGAAGTGGGCTGCTAGTATCCCAGAGAACGTTCCAGCCAATTTGCAACTATAATTGCCACTTAAGCACCCATGAAGCTCCGAGTGCACGACTCCACGCCCAAAGGTCCCCTGGATCCAAGGGCAGATGCCCTCGCACCCTAAACCCTAAACCCTAAACCCGAAACCCCAAAAGGCCATGACATCGCGTTTGCCCTCGTCTTGCCTCAAAATCCTTGTGCTGAGACTACTCCGCCAGTACCCCCATTGTTGCGTCAAGGGGTTTATACAGCCTCTGAAAAAGCCATGCTGGTGGGCATCCTAGAGACAAAGGCTGACCCGAGATGTTGGATAAAACCTGTGGGTGTGCACATGCAGGAGATACCTAAGCCCTGTAAAGGCCTAAACTTACTGGTTCCTAGCAAGCAAGTCCAGAAATTCGGGCAGCAGAGGTGCTCCACTAGTCCCGGAAACGATGCCCTTTTCGACCTTAGGAGTATCTCCAAACCCTAAACTTCTGAAATTTTCTGGTGTTTTTTAGATAAATAATAGTTTACACATTGGGATGCTCCCCCTTATACTAACAATCCTCAGTAGGGATGATAATTGGGGCACGATAAGCCCTATTTAGGACTCTTAGAACAAGGGGGAACATCAGAAATCATTTTTTGGGTTGAAAATTTATACATACAATACTTGATTCCAGGTCGAGACACAAGCCCAGCCACCGCTCGAGGCGGGCTGTCCATTTCGTAACCTTCGAGATTGGACCGATGGGGTTTTCTGCCTAGACACTTGTAGGTTCTACGTCGGGCCTCGTTTCTTCTCTCCCTAAACCCTAAACCCTAAACCCTAAGTCCTCTTGAACTAAGTCAACTACACCCCCAAAAGTAGACGATTTCGTCGAGCTGAAGCCCCTCTGGAGCCCTTCTACGCTCCAATTGGGACCCTTTTTGCCTACAGCTTTATGGGTTCTACCTATGTTACTAATCATGAAGGGTACTACTAAACTGCGGGTAAACAGAGTGCCAGGTACTTGCTTAAGAACCCCCGCAAACAATATGAGGGCAATACAGGGTTTGCTAGGTTTTTGACTTTTCGGGGTTCTTAAGCTGTAGGAAATTATGGGGGTTTACGAAAAGAGGCGGCCCCTAAAAAAAGAGCGCAGAAAAGAAGGATTCCCTTATAGGATCCCATCAACGGTACCCCCTAAACAAATATCGTAAACCCCCATATTGAGTCCAGGTAACCCTAAACCCTAAACCCTAAACCCTAAACCCTAAACCCTAAACCCTAAACCCTAAACCCTAAACCCTAAACCCTAAACCCTAAACCCAACGTGCCACAAGCGAACTGGAAGGCAGGTCGGGGTGCTCCGGCCGCTGTGTGGCCGCTCAAGATGAAGAACCTGGAGAGGTTTGGGTTTGTTTTGGGTTTAGGGTTTAGGGTTTCGGGTTTAGGTCTAGTTATTAGGGTTTGGGGCTTTAGGGCCTCCATCTAGATGCTCTCTGTCGAAAGGTTTCTGAACAAGACGGCCATGTGCACTTATTAGTTCTTAACCGTGGGCTTCAGGTACCTTATAATCAAGGGTACCTCGTTCCCAAATTCCCGCAGAAAACGCCCAAGTTTAGCCCCAAACCAGAAATGGTTTTTGGGTTCCGGATTGAATGGGAAGTTGAAATTAGCGTGGCAATAGTATAAAGTAATAGTCGTAGAAATACTAGTAGCAAGGGTAATCATCGCAAAAGTAGGAATAGTAATCGTCGCAATAGTAGCCCCCCCCCCCCCCCACCCCCACGCCACCCCCCCGCCACCCCTCACCCCCTCAAAGGTTCGAGCCATGGGTTATGTTCACACCCTTGGGGGGGGGGGGGGGGGCTGCGGTTTAGGGTTTACTCGGTGCTGTCTCCGCATCTGAGTATCTGAGCAGCGACTGCACTGTGAACCAGCGATCAACCCGCCAGCAGCACTGAAACTGCAGGGCGACATCCCAACTCACCAGCCGATCCGACAGGACATGCAAAGAAAAAGGCGAGATCTCAATGATGGTTTAGGGTTCGGATTTTAGGGTTTGTGGTTGCATTCTTCTTTTCCTTCTTTGTACCGAGTCTTGTGGTTGGTTTTTCAATTAGTGAGACTAGTGTACCCCAAGCCCCAGGCCCCTGACCATAAATCCAAGAAGGACAGAACGAACTACACTTGCAAGGAACTATACGGGTATACATGTGAGGTTTAGGGTTGAGGGTTTAGTGCTTAGGACCCCAAACCCTAAACCCTACACCCTAAACCCTAAACCCTAAACCCTAAAACCCGGGCAGACGAGGCGCATCAACATGCAGATCAAGCCGGCGTTGTTGCAGGCCCGGAGCCTGTTGCCAAAACGAGGGCTTGTGAGTTAGAGGGTGTAGTCGGTTTGGGGTTTAGGGTTTAGGGTTTTGGTTTAGGGTTTAGGGTTTAGGGTTTAGGGTTTAGGGTTTAGGGTTTAGCGTTTAGGGTTTAGGGTTTAGAGTTTAGGGTTTAGAGGGTTTCTGCTGCATAGGGTTTCAGGTTTAGGGTTTCGGCTGCATAGGGTTGAGGGTTTGGGGCTCAGGGTTTAGTGCTGAGGTTCAGGGGTAGGACCCCACCAGAACGATCCGCCCCCTCCCAAGATAAGGCCCAAAGTCTGGGTCTTATCTTTGGTTGGGGTGGTGGTGGGGGGGGGGGGGGGTCGTACAGGACCCTAAAAGTTCTAAACCCTATCCCATGAGCAATGGGGTCAAAGCCATTAGCAACCCGACTGGAGGTAGAACTAAACGTGGCGCGTCTTTTTTTAGCATGGGGTGGGGGGGAGGTCCCCTGCACCAGAAAAAGCTGTTCTCCTTCCTTATTCCAAGAACACCCCCGCTTCCGCAAATGCCCCAACTCTGATACGCGAAAACTTCACCCCGTTGCAAGCTGGACTTGCTGACTGCCACACACCCACTAGTAGTAGCTCCCTATAAGCCCTGAATTGCAGCCTGCCACAGTGATGCGATGCAGATAGAAAGCCCGAGACCCCTAACCCCACAACTCCAATCCATGCCCAGATTCGGATAGATCCAGAAGGACCACATCTCGACTGGAAAGCGGCCTCGCTCGGGGCTGACAGACGCTGGACGGGGTGTGGAGTGGGGTTGAGGATTCTCTTGCCAAGTCTAGGCCCTAGGCAGTTCCTTGTCTGGCCAGAGTTTCATCGCTGGCAAAAAACAAGGAGAAACGCAACCATGTAAGAAGACTACCCAAGCTCTTTTTGAACCCAGAACTCAGAACATCAGAGCATATACCCAAGCCCAAAACCCTGAGCACACAGACACACACGTACGCTCACACAGCTGTGTAGCAGTCCTTCTTCGGGCTCCAGGAAGGGTGCTTGCACGCGCTTGCTTAAGGGGCACTTGGGCTCTTCTGCGACAAGCACTTCGAGCAGACTGCCCTGCAACGCGAAATCTAAGTCTCAGGTTCAGGAGTTATTTGATTGGGCAAGTTTAAGGTTTCGGGGGGCCCGGCAGGGCTTAAGGATCTGGGTTTTTCTTTGGCCATTTGTTTTCGTCTTGCTTTTCTTTTGTTCTGTTTCTTTGGCCACGAGGATCTACTCGGCTACTTCAAAAGGGCACGGCCCTACCTTCACCCCCCTAGTGTCTTTGCATTTTTCGTGTAAAGGGTGTCTGAACTCTGAACTATGGGCGTTTTCGGTCTCTTGTACGTACTTCAGCTTAAGCTACCAAGCCGCCCCCCCCCCCCCCCCCATGTGACTGCAAACAGCCGTGCCTTCGAACCAGTGCTTGGTGATCACCTGAAGAATGCCAAGGCCCAGCAGGGCGTCCTTTCGGGCGACCAGGGCAAGTTGTCGAGTGGAGGGAGAGTGTCAGGTTCAGGCAGGGTTGAGAGCGTAGGATTTTGGGCTTGGACGCTGTTGCCGAAACCCAACCTTCAACCTCAGGGATTTGAGGTCGGATGATAAGCTTGAGGCGGCTTGTCATGGAGTTGAGGTCTCTAACCTTACAGGCCAGTCGAGGACCTCGTCAAGGCGAGGACCCGTCAGAGTCACCTCCTTGAAGACTGGGAACACTAGCCTCACAACTTCGTTGCTGAGTTCACAAGCCCCAAAAAAAGTGTACACTTTCAGTTCTATTGGGGGAATATAGACTCCCAAAAACTGTAAAGTGTACTCACTCTGCTACTAAGCTAAGAAAGTGCAGCCCAGCCCCAAGCACCGAGTTCTACTCCCCGCTTGCCCACGGTATCTTCAAAGCACTGCAACATCCCAAACCTTAAGTTGCCCCTAAAGCCAAGTAAGTTTGGGGCACTCCATCCTAAACAACTGATCCCCAAAGCCAAAAAATTTCGGCCTGGGGGTGTCCTAAACTACCCAAAGCGCTAAACAACTGATAAACCTGAACTGTTTAAATCCCTAAACAAGCCTTTCTACAGGCTTCGGTAGCCCAACCCCCTACACCCTCTGCCGCCTTCAGCTGCTGCTCAACGGCTTCGCGGGCGTTGGCCTCGCGGAGGCCTGGGCGAGCAAGTTGGTACAGGGCCTAGGGACTCGGGAGCAGGGTTTCGGAGACGCCTCGTGCACGGTACTCATCCAGTGAACTGGCCAAGTGCTTGTCCAGGATTCTTTGGCATACTTAGTTGTCCAGTACCTAGGGGTCTTAAAGGTTAACCTTTGGGAATATAAGGGGAATATATTAACCCAAAAAGGTTAAAGGCTAGCTACTCTACTACTAAGTATACCCGGGCTCAGGGATCAGGGCTTAGTGGGGCGTGGCTCTCTTGACGAGAAACGTGCTGTCAAGACAGAAAGGCTTACGACCTTCCCATTCGACCCCCTCCCCGTCCTCCCCTTCCTACAAAAGCCAACCTACAACCCTTCTAAGGGACAGAGACGGCCATCTTCCATACACTAGTTCGAAGATTGCAGTCCGGAGTTCTTAGCGTGGGTGCCTGCCCTGCCACGAGAACCCCAAAAAGGGCAAAGGTACCCCCGTTTCCGGAACCCTAAGTAAGGCCCTAAACCCTAACGCCCTTTTGAAGCCGGGCTGAACTCCAAGCCGGCACCTGTGGGTAGGGGATCAAAAAAATTTATTTGGGATAAAAAAATTATTTCTAGGCGGATCAAAAAAACTTATTTGGGATCAACAAATAATTTACTGAAGGCTTCGAAGGCTTCTTGCCAGCGGAGCGGAGGCTGTAAACGCTCAGAAGTGCAGCAGTTCTGGCCGTTCACAAGCTCTAAATACCGAAAAAACACAGCATTTAGGCGGGAACTACTGAAAATAGCAGCATTTCTGAGTTTCCAGAGAGGCTGCAGATATTGTATTTAGCAACAGTTCCGCGCTTTCAGAGGCTGGAAATACTGTACACTGCAGCATTTCTGAGCTTCCAAAGGCTGCAAATATTGAAAATAGCAGCATTTCTGCGATTTCAGAGGCTGGAAATACTGTAAATAGCAGCATTTCTGAGTTTGCAAAGGCTGCAAATCAATGCTTGGCATTAGAAGTTTCAAAAAATGCGTATACTCTGAAGCATGTATATTATGGCATAGTATTGTATATTCTTGTACAATATTGCATGACATTGTATATTCTTGCATAATATTGTATATTGTTGTATATATTGTTGAGTATTACTGTATTGTCTTGTGTTTTCTTGTGTTTTTGTATATTATTGCATATTATTGCATATTATTGCATTTATTTGTGTATTTTGAAAATTATTGTATATATTGTATAATATTGCGTCTTGTGTAATATATTCTTGTATTTTATTGGATCTTATTGTGCCTTCATGTATTTTTGCAAAAAAAGTGCTCGCATCATGGGACTACTAAGAAAACAGCGGGGGGGTTGGGGGGGGCGCAGCCCCCCCCCCCCCCATTTGCAGGGTTGGGGGGGGGGGGCCCCCCCCCCCCCCCCCCCTATTTGCAAACACAACGCTCGCATCATTGGTTTGGAAAGGATATTCATATGCTTTGAAGCAAGCATGCCTTTCCTTCCATGTCATTTCCTTTCCTTTCCTTTCCTTCCTTCCTTGCTTCCTGGCTTCCTTGCCTTCTTGCTTCCTTGCTTCCTTGCTTCCTTGCTTGCTTGCTTGCTTCGTTCCTTCCTTCCTTCCTGCCTGCCTGCCTTCCTTCCTTGCGTCCTTCCACCCTTCCTTCCCGCCCTCCCTCCCTCCCTCCCTTTCTCCCACTCTCCCTCCCCTCTCCATCAAGAAGAACAGAATAAACTATTTCTTGATCCTAAATAAATTATTTTTTGATCCTAAATAGTTTTTTTTTGATCCGCATCCCGCACCTGTCCCTGCCTAAGCGACATCACCGAGTCCAAGCTTGTCGAGCGTACGCAATGCAGGAGGTGTCAGTTTAGTAATCTCTTCCACCATGGCCAAACAAACAAAGGTCTAGGATCGAAGCCTGAAGTCTCGAACCAAACGTCCTTGAGCCAAAATGGCCAACCCTAAGCCTAAACCCTAAACCCAAACCCTGAACCCTAAACCCTGATCCCTGAACCCTCAACCCTGAATCCTCAACACTGAACCCCTGAACCCTAAACCCTTCTTCCCTTCTGCCCAAGTATCGGCCCAAGGAGTCGCGCAAGATGGCCGGGCGGCCGGGCAGACTTGTGGCCTGGAGGGCTTTGGAATTGACTTTCGAGACTTCAGATTTTTGGGGCTTGAGGGGTTTTAGGAGTGAAGTTTGGAGAAGGGTTTTGGGGTTACAGACTTCGGGTTTGGTGCTTGAGGGGCTTTATCGACTTTGGTCGCTCACACTGGGGGGGCGAGCCGTCTCTAAGGTGACACAACCTCCAACCACTAGGTTCCTGAGCCACCAATCAGATACAGCCTAACCCCAACAGGGGCCTATGACGCTAGCCCTAGGTCGTAGGTCGTACAGCATTGCCCCGCTTACCGGCCCCAGGCTCAGTACTCACTTACTTTCAGGCTTGAGCGGTGTTCCAGTTTCAGGAGCCGGGCCCAAAATTTCGACCTGTAGACGAAGAACAGCTGACTTGTCCAGTTTGCCAGGGGCGAGAACAGTTTTCTCCTTGCCGTGCTTTTTGGCGTCACGCTGAAGGTTGAGGGTTGAGGGTTTAGCTTATTACCCTTACTACCGTTCCTGTAGTCTTTTTACTACCGTTCCTGTAGCTTAACTTGGAGCACTTATAACTTATAACCCATGTTGGGACACGAACAACTCTGCTGAGGCCATGGCTCCTTCCAGACATGCTGCCTTTTCCCTGGATGCGACCCTTTTGCGGTTTGGAGGGTTCAGGGCCCAAGAAGGGCCGATTTAGTCAGAATGGATATCTTGAAAAGTTCATTGTGTCCTAAACCCTAAACCCTAAACCCTAGAAATAGCATGCGTAATGAGTCAGGGCTCCGTTAGTCCAGAGGCTCATCCCTCACAACCCACCCCTTCGCCTCGAAGAAGCCGCTCTTTGCGTTGAACCTTGGCGTAACCCTAAACCCTAAACCCTAACCGCTAAAGGCTTGGGGGTCTCAAGATTTTTGGAGTTTTCAGGCTTCGGGCCGTTTTAGGGTCTAGGCTTTTGAGGGCTTGGGGTCTTGAGCCCCTCAACCCAACAGAAGCCCTAAACCCTGAATCCTTACTGAGACCGGGAAGCTGGAGTCGTCTGCGGATTGGGGTTTTAAGTTGGGATGTCCCCCCTTATACTAACAGTCCTAATAGGGACCGCCCGCTTAGCCGAGCTGTACGTCCACATTGCAGGGATTCGGCTTGATTCCGGAGGTGGAAGGGTTTAGGGTTTAGGGTTTGTAGGGCCTATTCTAGGGCGTGAGGTAAGTGACAGGTCCCTGGACATTTCAGGACCGAACGGTTTGTGTACAACTCCTTGTGATTTCCTTGCGTTCTTGCCCTCGACAGGGACTCGTAATTCACATTTGTTGCTGTTGGAGCTTCACGTGGCACTTGGTGAGGTCATGGGGTCAAGCTTGGGATGTTGCCCCGTATACTAACAGTCCTTATAGGGATTACAGTACCCCCTTTCATAATCCCTATTCCCCTACTATGGACTCTGAGTATAAAGGGGAAACATCCCGAGGTCAAGCGCATGACTGAAATCCCCTCTGAACATCACACACCCAAACTTGTCACCGATTCTGCTCCGTATTTCAACTACTGCTTGAAGGCATTCTGTTAAAGGGGGGGGGACTCCCTTGAGTGCCTAATCACCGTCCCCTCCTCGTAGCCTAAGCCAACCCTGAACCCCCACCCCCCCCCAATGAAAAGACTGGCCTAAACCGTAACCTAAACCCTAAACCCTAAACCCTCAACCCTAAACCCTAAACCCTAAACCCTAAACCCTAAACCCTAAACCCTAAACCCTAAACCCCGGCGTACTGCAAGCCGTGAGGCTCAAAGACCCCGGGCCCCTCCTGCTGCAGAAGCTCCGTGAGCTCGAGCCTCTTCAGCCGGAGCTGTCCGTGGATCACTTAAGCCCGGCCTAACCCTAAACCCTAAACCCTAAACCCCAAACCCTAAACCCTGAACCCTAAACCCTAGACCCTAAACCCTAAACCCTAAACCCTAACCCTACACACTAAACCCGGAACCCGGAACCCGGAACCTTACACCTTGTTTCGGGCAAGATTTGGGATTGTTCATGGTCCGGGGCTTTAAGGGGATTTAAGTTAGGGCTCGAGGGTTTGGGGGAGAGGGGGGGGGGGGGTTGGCTTAGAGTTTCAAAGATGAAGGTTTCGGGGTTGTAAAGGTTTGGGCCTTTTGGGTTGCCGAGGTTTGACCCCGGGGCCCGGGGGGTTTAAGGCTTCAGTATGATTTTTTCTGCCACTTGCGCAGGGCAACGCCAGGGTTTAGGGTTTTAGGGTATGAAGGGTAGCGCCGAAGCCTATGTCCTGCATTCCTGGCACCCCTAAACCCCAAACCCCAAACCCAAAACCCTTAAACCCTAAACCCGAAACCCTAACCCCCAAACCCTACATAAGTCTACGAATTTGCCACAGCAACCTGTTGCTTTGGGCATGCTGCGTCCTTCGTTTAAGCCCGTGAAGCTGTCGGCTGTAGGTGAAGGGATCCCAGGCAGGCCCTACCCACATCCTTGGGGCGCAGAACGCATGCTAAATCCTACACAACCACGAGGGCACCTGTAGGCCTCCCTTCAACCCCTCCCTCTTGCATCAGGCGAAACCCCTCTTGAGACAAGCATGGACTTGGGGTGGCGCCCATGTCCTAGAACTTGCTGCCCGGAAACCGGTTTAAAAACCCTAAACCCGAAACCCTAAGCCCTTAAAACCCTAGGGTGCTTGGGGCTCATCCCCGAGCCTCTTGACCAGACCCGCTCGGATGAACTTCTTGGTGGCTGTGGTGGGCAGCATCTTGCGGGGAAGGTACACAAAGACCTGCGAGGGTCAACCCTAAACCCTAAGCCCCAAACCCCAAACCCCTAAACCCCTAAATCTGAACCCCTAAACCCTACCTGGGACTCTATTCACCTGTGAAGTAGGAACTACCCCATAGAAAGCATAACCCATAAAGCTGTAGGGAAAAAGGGTCCCAGGCAAACTCTATAAGCCCACAGGGTTGGGATGGAGGTTTGGGATGTGGGGTTCAGGGCGAGCGAGGGAGTACGTGGTTCAAGAGACCACCCCACTAGTCTCAACTGTCTCTCTTACGCCTAAACTCTGACACCCTAGAACCCTGCAAGCCCTAAACCCTGAACTGTCTTTTTCAACCCTAAACCCTAAACCCTGCTAAACCCTAAACCCTAAACCCCAAACCAGCCCAAACCCTAAACCCCAAACCCTAAACTCCAAACCCTAAACCCTAAACCCCAAAGCCTATGAGG